AACATATTCATTGATATGCCTAATAAACTGGAACCAAAAATAATCTCCAGATCAGCAGAGATGCCTGTCGACACTGATGAAGTACTTTCCCTTGTGGTCGCAGTGTGCAGGGAGGAGGAAATGAATGTGGTCATAAAAGAAACATTTCTAGGGACGCTCTGGAACCTCTTCTTTAAGGCCGGGCCTAACAACTACGCTAGAGGTGAGGTTGGTTGCCTGTACTCCTTTTGTAGGAAGAATGTTTTGTTATTCTCTTCCTCCTCATTTTAGAATTTCTGAATTTACACCTGCCTTCCTTTGTCCTTCTTGTTCTTCTCTTTGATCTTTCTGCTCTTGTTCTTCTCTTTCTTACTTTTATTGTTATTGTTCTTTTTCCTGTTCATATCTTTTCTTTTGTCTTTCTTTTCATATTTTTCTCTTTCTTCCTCCTTTTCTGATTCTTTCCTTCTCCATCCTGGTGTTGCACTTTCTTTTTTAATTTCATCACATGTATCATATTCTTTCGTCATAAAAAGTAATCTTTTTGGTTCGAACCTTTGGTCTCTCCCTCCCTTCTTTCCTCTTCACCTCCTTTTTCTTCCTGTTCTTCCCTTCTCCCACTTCCCTTATTCACTCTCTTGCTCCTTTTTCTTCTCCTCCTTCTCCTTTTCTCCCCTACCTTCTGCCCCTTCTACTTTTCCTTTTTCTTCTCCCCTCCTATGTGCTACCATCTCCATTTCCTACTTCTCTCTTTCTTCTACTTCTTCATTTTCTTCTTATTATTCTCTTCCTCCTCCCCTGATTGACTGTAGGGAAAGACCTTTAGCATATTTGTGTGTTTTCCTGTTCTTCCTGTAGTTGTTTTATTTAGACTCTCCTTCACATTCACCTTCACCTTCTTCCTCCTCTGCATCCTTAATCTCTTCCTCTTCCTCCACCTCAACCTAATGCCTTCTGCTGCCCTATAGCAAAGTATTATATTATACATAAATCTTCCTTTTCTGTTGCAGCTGGATTAGTGGAAAGAGCAGAATCTGACAACAAACCAAAAGATAAAACCAAGAGAGTCGAGGTCATCATTGAGCAAGATCTTGAGCCAGCACAGCGTGAAGAACTTGCAGAATCTGTGACGGTGAGTTATATTCATTGTGCCTTGGCCAGATAAATGATAGAAGAGCAGCATCAACATCACTATTATTAGTCTCCTTGCTAATATTGTAAAATAAACTGAAGCAAATTTGATAACTACAGATAGTTTTGAATTAATTACAACCAAAGGATTATAAATTAGAAAACAATGGAAATTCATATAATGAGGGCATTGCAATTATTATTTAGATCTATATTTATCATGTATTGTACATTTCTAGAGTGGATATCATCATTACTATTATTTTGAACAGCCATGGACATATGTGGCACATATTTTTTTTACTCTATTTACTATTTGGTTCATATGAATGACAATACATTTTTATTCTTCAGAGAAAAATATTCATATTCATATTCATTTCTCCTCAGAAAATAGAATACATATATACTTATTTACAAATTTTATCTCTTAATCCCCTAGGTAGCAGTGAAAGATATGGGTTTCAAGGAAATGAGTGCTCACTGCATAGAAGAGTGGTCTGTCAAAAGGCGGATTATCGAGGTGGTCAGAAGGTTTTTCGAGTTTCAGTTGAATATGGAGATTGTGTAGGTGTTGCTGTATTTCCCTGACCACCCACTGTGATGCAAATTTCACCTTTCACACACTTTGCCTCCATGCTGACCAAGCAAGGTATGCCATCAACTTATCTAACGACACCATGCACCATGTTTTTCTCATATTCTCCTTATCATTATCAGAAGCGCATTGTTTTCTTCCTTATTTTTACATTTTGTGGTATTTGTCTGTAATTTGTACCAAATAAATGGTAAAATATATCTTTTATCTAAAATCTTGTTTATTTGCTCAAATTTCCTCTAAGAGCATCTAAATATCACTTATGTACTTACTTTTTCCACCAATTCTTTTAAAATGGTGTTTTCCTTCACCTTTTCTTCATACAACCTTTTTCACAATACAGTTCCATGTATTTCATTGCAATTATTACACTTATTGACCTTTTGTTCACTCACAAGGTCTATTCTATTGATCTCTTTCTCAAAGTTCTTCATTTTGATTACCAAAGCTTGTATAGTTTCATATCTACTTTAAGGTCAGTATTTGTTTCAGTTCATATCTCTCTGGGCTAACTCCAGTCTTGGTGTAGATTTAACTGATCACCTCTATTAATCTCCAACAGTCCTGCCGTCCAGCCATATACTAACCCAGTATATTTGACCTCCTCCCACTCCTTGTTTCCACTTTATTCTTTTCATTTTTTTATATTCTGCTTCCTGGATTTGATCCAGTTTATATCTTTTATCATTCAGTCCCTAGTACACCACACCACACTACCCTAAACACACACACACACACACACGCACTAACATACATACACACACACACACACACACACACACACACACACACTAACATACACACACACACACACACTAACATACACACAAACACACACATACATT